AAATCGAAAACGGATTTTCGTGTTTTTAAAGAAGAATTCATGGTACCTACCAGTCTGAAACGTGAACCAATGCTCGTTTCTACTATTTCTGGTGTTGAGAAAAATTATAAATATGACATCGATTTTCGTCTTATCTTTCTCTCAGCACCGGCTCACTTTTCCATACCTATTCGCCTGACTCTCGTACCAAATTCTGGTTGCGACGAAGACGATTGGCAACAAGCTGCGCCGTACCCGGCTACAGATAGCGTAGTCATTGTCATACACGATCAAAACTGCTCGGTACGACAAAAGAGCAACATAGGACAGAAATTCAATATTCATGGGTTTCTTCTTCACAACACAGATAATACGACAGGTTTGCCAGTTGTAGTCGCTGCGAGCAATATAACTTATATAGCTATGGTGATTTCCTATGATGTGGGTGTGAAATTAACTGAAGCAGTGCAAGATCATCTATCGACTAATCCAAGCGTGCGGATGTTCATGACTCCTGGCAATGCAATACGTGTTAACATTTCCTCGCAGAATCTGTGTGCTGATACATTAACGGGAAACAAAAGCCAGACGATATTGGTTGGTAGTCACAGTGATAGTGTGGAAGATGGTTCAGGAATCAACGATAACGGTAATTTCTTTTAATGTTCGACAGTAGACAACAATCTGAAAATTTCACTTAGGTAGTGGATCGATGGCAACCTTAGTATTGGCATTGAACATGGCTAATCTACTTAAAGCATCAACTTATGAAAAGTATCCGTATCGAATTCGATTCTGCTGGTGGGGTGCAGAAGAGAGAAACATGCAAGGGTCATATCATCATGTGGAACAAGCTAATCTAACGACTATAGAAGGAAATCGTTTGACGGACTATTTAATGATGTTAAATTTTGATATGCTCGCATCGCCAAACTACATTTTTGGTATTCATCAAAGCGGTGGACTACCGGATTTTGTACCATCCAAGGCAAAAAGTGGTTCCGATAAAATCGCACAAATCTTTCGTAATTGGTTTGAACAAGAGAATTTACCATGGGATAATACATCTTTGGGCATTTCAAGTGATCATGTTCCATTTCTCGTCGTAGGTATTCCATGTGGTGGATTATTCACAGGTGCGGACGAAGGCAAAACACTAGAACAACGAAATCGTTACGATAGAATGTTAGGACATGGACATGGTGGAATTGCCAACACAATGCTAGATCCATGTTATCATAAGATTTGTGATACGATCGAAAACGTTA